TTTTCTGATGACCTTAACTTACCACTTTATAAATTTGAAAGGGGTGCAATTTATAAATATCTGATTCAGGTTCTCTACGTCAGTCATCATCCACAAAAACTAGATACTGTTTGGCGTGACATACTGAGTCTACCTGAAAATGCCAAGCCCAATTTCCATGATTGTTATATAGCACCAGTTATTGGAAAATATGGGGACCTGCAGTGGCGTATCTCTCATGGTGCGTTTCCAACTGGGAGATTTCTGTTCAAAGCCTGTCTGAACAGTTCTGATAAGTGTCCTTTCTGTGATGAGGTCGATACTCTCCAACATATCTTTTTTGATTGCACGTCTAGTGACAACCTACTCTACCTCGCATCTCGTCTGGTTCAAGAAGACTTTCGGATTCCTGGTTGGTGGTTCATAATATTACCACCCCGTCGCTCAAAACAGTTTCATTCTAGCCAGGTACAAAGCATTTTTTGCTTCTTAGCGTGCATGGCTAAAGTTGCGATTCACTCCAGCCGTCGTAACAAGCGGCAAAACAAAGGGTCTAGTGACCCTCTCGAAATTTTCAAACAAAGTATTAGGTCAAGACTTAAAACGGAATATGAATATGAACCTATTGCCTAAGTTTAACAATACGTGGACAGTGGAGAATGCCCTGTGTCACATTCAGGATAATGAGCTCCGCATTAATCTATAACATGCTATTGTCTTGGCAAATACTTCAATTTACGTACTCACGTACAGAAATGCACAACCAAGTTTTAGAACACGCACAGGAGCCAAGAGTTTTGTCCTCTTGGTGGATTATCTGCAAACATACACGCGTTTTTCCTTTCTGCTTGTTTTGTGCTTTTATTGTTTTAGTTTTCCCTTGGAATTTGGGAGGATGAGGTTATCATGTGCCACAGCAGCCTCCATGTCACCCTTGGGCACCGTGAACGCGCGGGTGAATGCAGTGCTTTTCTGCGCTCCCCGAATTTTTTACAGGTTTGGCCTCACGACTTAGTCGGTTTTCAGTTGTATTGGACATGTCCTGGGTAAGACGTTAAAATTGCATCCGGTTGCGGAGTTTTTGTACTTGGGAGAATGAGGTTACCCCTTGCCACAACTACCTCCAGGTCACCCTTGGGCAAGGTGTAGTACCTGTCAGCCTTGGGTGCCAACTTCCCACATAATAAATTTGGTTGACGTCAGTAAGGGCATACGGCCATAAAAGCCTTGCACCAACTCAGCCTCACGTGTGAGGTATCACCTATTAAAGGCAACGTTTACGTTTATTTAAATATGTATATATGTGTCCTGGGCAAGATTTTAAACTACATCCGGTTGCAGAGTTTTTGTACTCGGGAGAATGAGGTTACCCTTTGCCGCAACTACCTCCAGGTCACCCTTGGGCAAGGTGTAGCACCTGTGAGCCTTGGGTGCCAACTTCCCACATAACAAGTTCGGTTGACGTCAGTAAGGGCATACGGTCGTAAAACTCCTGCACAAATAGATCCGCACAGGTGGACAATTTTTCATGTAAATATGTAGATATTAGTTTCAGTTGTACTTAGCATTTGGCAGGGGGGATCGTAACCTCTTGTGGTGAGAACCAGTGTGACTGGCCTGCCAACGGGGTGCTAAGGATTTTATTGGAAAAGTTATCAGTTCCATCCGTTAATGTAATTTCGTTTTCCATACCCGAAAATCAAAAATCACAATACAATACAATACAATACAATACAATACAATACAATACAATACAATACAATACAATACAATACAATACAATACAATACAATAAATTCCATTACATCTGACTCGTTGTTTTGTTACCAGATTGAAGATATTGATGGTTTGAAAATCATTCACATCAGTGGTACAAAAGGCAAAGGTTCTGTGGCTGCCTTCTGTGAAAGTATATTACGTGCAAATGGATATAAAACTGGATTCTACAGGTAACGAACAATTAAATTGCAGAATGATGCAATCACTAAGTCTATATTTCACACAC